ATCCATCCAGACTCTTCTTGGTCAAGGTCTTCCCTGTGGAACTGTTGGTGGTGCCTGTGACCTACCATGGATTGTGTGCCCCTCTTCCTTGGCACCTGCCTCGCTCTCTGCAGGATTGTCCCCCCCTCCCCTCCCTGCCCCTCACTTGCTGCATTACCTGTCTTAGCTGGTGCAGCTCTCTGCACCTCCTCCACACAGCTCCTTGAGCCCCCACCTGTTAGGGGTCTCTCTGTTGTCCTGTACCTGGGCTCTCTGTTCCATAGGAAACACACCCTCAGGCCACAGGTGTGGGTTATATCTGTTTTCCCCAGCTTTGGGGCTGAAAAGCACTAAAAACATAGATTTTGCTTATTAATATTTATGTTCAATGTCCTTAATAAATGCTTATTGAATAAAGGAACAAAATAAGCATTTGCCTAATGGCTAGTTACTGTTTCATGTAGCTGAAACCAGCAGTTCAGAAATCAGCATTGCTAACCCCCTCTCCTAATCCTGGTTGAAACCCTCTTGGTCATAATTTGGAAACCATGAAGCCCCATTCCATAAGTTTCCTAGATCTTCCAGGGTTTGGGGGCCTTTTTGTGTCTTTCAGGCTTACAGGTGCTGGGGCATTTGTGGATCCTGAAGGATCCTCCCATCCTGCTTTAGGATGGGACCTGAAGAAGCTGGGAGGTGCTCCTCTGGGTCTCATCTTCTGCGAGAAACAGGCGTACACGCTGCACAGTCTGCCATCGCCTTTCCTCTCCTAGTCCTAACCAATCTGCTCTGCACTGGTCTGCACCCATGAAGTGAACGAGACCCCAGTGTGAGCACTGAAGCACCTGCTGGGTGGTGGGAAGACTCTCAGCAAGCATCCGTAGGTTACAGTTTGTAAGCTCACCAGAACAAACACAGTGGCTGAGCAGTTTGAGTTTTTAAGATGTCCTCAGAGACAGGGCTAGAAACTGAGGGGTCTGCTAATCCCACCAGCACTTCTGGAGGGGACACAACCAAGCTTTCTGTCTAGACTTTTTTTTTTTAATTTAGGACAAGGTGTACAGGGTCTCACCACGTAGATCTGACTTGTAGTGATCCTCCTGTTTACAGCCTCCCAAGTGCTGGGATTACAGGCACACACCACCACGCCTGAGCTGAATCACCATCTCAGTGTGCTCCAGGGGTGGGACCAGCACAGCAGGCCTGGGGATCAAACTCCTAGCCCCTGCGTCTGCCTAAGCAGGCACTTTAATCTGCTGAGCTATTTGGCCAGCCTGGTCCAGACTTTTTTAATCTTCACTATTTTGATCTTCAAGGATAGACCTGAGGGAGGCAGCCTCCTCTTATAACCTAAGCCCCTGTTTTGCTACCCCATTATAATACTTTTCTTTGTTGGTGTTTATGGACAACTTGTTAAAGCCAGATTCTTAGGAGACAGATGAATGGAACCAAATCCTGGCCTCAAGTCCTGAAGAGCTTGGCCAGGGCGTTTTCAATGTCATGTGTCAGCTGCACATGGAGCTATGGGAACCCAGCTCGACTGGATGGAGGATAGAAACCTTCTGCTCTGATGAGCGCCCATTTCACCCTGAGTATTCCTAGACAGACATAAAGCACCAGATGCTCAGTTCTCAGCACCATCTACCTCCTGAAAATCCTCTGAGGCTCACCCTCATTCCTCTCTGCCCCTCGGGCTCACCCTGATCAGTTGTCAAGGTCACCTCAGGGTACAGGAGTGTGGTGTCAGGCCGTTCTGTGCTCCCTGCCTGCTGGCACTAGGAGGAGCAAAAGAGCTGTCCGCCTGAGGCCACCCTTTCTGTTAAATGTCTGTGCTCCCCAGCAGGCTGCCTTCCCAGTTGTTACTGAAGACAGGAAGAAAAGGAAGGGTGCTGATGACTTGTAATCCCAGGCTTGTCCTCAGGGTGGCTGGTGTGGATATGGGAAGGAAGAATTCCTAGGAGCATTTATTCTGCATGGTATGTGTTCATACAAGGACTGCTTGCTCGCTAGGCTCAGCACTGGGGCATCGACTCTCTGCTTCCGGTTTGTGTCAGCCTGCTCTGTTCACCAGAGGGTGTTTTGGTCTCTCAAAACTTTCATGAAATCACTTTTGAAGACAATAATGATGGGCCTAAACCCAAACATAGACCAATAAAATAGTTCCTGTGAAATGCTCGGTAACTATCAGGTGTTTGTAGAGAATGCAAGAAAGAGAGAGGAGCAGGGAGTGAAGAGAAACTAAAATAGCAAGACTTTGGTTTGAAATTGAGCAACAGGCTATATTTGTGATCAGGCTATGCTGTGTTTCCCAGGACATGGGAAAGGAAGAAAAGTGGGAAGCAAAAGAACTGGCTCAGGAGTGCAGCAAAAGAGCCATCTCCATCTTCTCCCACCCTGCCTCACTCCCGGAGGCCTCTTTGGCTTCTGCTCCTGGCTCTGAAGGCTCAGAGACTGAGGCCACCCTTTCTGTTAAATGTCTGTGCTCCCCAGCAGGCTGCCTTCCCAGTTGTTAC